TGATGAGACCGTAGAGAAGACATAATCCGTGAGTTCCTAGGGGAATGTCATACCCACAGCCGCCTCGGCTGAGAGTCTGGAATAGAGACAAAATGTGATGTATAAGCCGTTACGTCAGTGTTATAAAGGATGTTAAACTCAGACCGTGGATATGTTAATAACTCCTAAAGTATTTATAATAGATGTTGTAGTTTTCCTGTATTTAACCTTTGTAGTTTGCCGCATTTGTTATATAAACTTAGTAACAACATAAACGGTGTTTCAGACGTAATTGATCATTGAAAATAGTTATCACAATGTGAAGTGAAAGAAAGTCCTAGACGAAAGTGTCAAATATAATTCCTTATTTAGTGCCGTGACGAAGGATAGTCGCCACGTAACTCCATCCCTAGTGTCACATAGGTTTTTCTTGTGTAATCGTGTATGTGTCTGCCCCCCCCCCCCCAACACACACACAAAATAATATCGTGTAGCGATATTAACACTAACGAAAAAAAACCCAAAACAAAGCAAATCGTAGACCAAGTGCCGTGTATGTAAAGCCCGGCCCATACCGCTATGGCTACACACAAGCCGACAGGGTCGCGCCTTTACTTCACTTGCCTACGACGGTACCAGTCCACACAGGCCCGACTCTCACAGATTATGAATTTTCCCTCAATTAAACAAGGAGCACATGACCTGCACAGTCACATGACTAAATGCTACTCTCTGATTTGCTAAACACGATAAGTTACGACTGCAACCAACTGCATCCGACTACGATTGAACATGTTCAATCGGGCCGACGGGCCACGACGCGACCGAAATCGATTGAATCGTGGTCGTGGGACTGTCCACACTGCACTGATTATCTGAGACAAGACGTTGCGTTGGGTAGAGTCTGGGCAAGTCGTGGCGGTATGGGCCGGGCTTTATGCTTTGTTCCCACTGTCGTGCGATGCGTTACGATAAGATTGTCCCTATTGAGTCCACGATCTGGTACATGCAGAAGATCACCACGATTACTCTACGATTAAAACCACGATTTCAACCGTTAAAAATGGATCAATTTGCATCGGGTTGAGGGGGGGGGGGGGTGGATGGCTGTATGGTTAGCGTGCGCGCGCTGTATCATAAAGTCTGTCATTGAGTCGACTGGCGTTGTTTCGAATCCCCGGTTGTACGTTACTCCTTGTCCAACCTCGTGGGTTTTCTCCGGGTCCTCCGGTTTCCTCCCACAGCTAAAGATCCCTACGCGCAAGCGAATTATGTAAATAAATTTAAACCATATGTTAGTCCCGAAATGACCTAGTTTGTGTCGAGTGGACGTTAAACCCCATTTCTCTCTCTCTCTCAATTTGCATCGTTGAGAGTAAGCATAACGTGCAGCTGACTGGACATTATCCACATTACATGAGCAATGTTCGACTCATCTGACCTCTTTACACCACATCAGAAATTCCTGTTAAATGTGCGATTTAGACGTCTATTTACTTGTGAAACTTGACCGACTTTCACCATGATTAAACCATTGTACTGATAAAGACCTCGAGACAAGTTAACTTGTAGTTCATCACTTGTTGTAGTTCGCAGGTTTCCTTGACGAACACCTATAATATAAACCGTAATTTGTTCATCTACTGTTTAATGTTCATGCTTAAAGTTGAGGGACGCTGCTTACATCGACATACTAAATAAAATTTGAAAACATTTAAACCAATGTCTACCGATATTTAAAATATACCACAAAGTCAGATCGTGAAATGAAATTAAATTAGGTTTAAAGTTACTACTTTTCTGCAACGACTGGGCTTACGAAGTTGGAAATACGGCATATAGTGTGATACGGGGACAATTCTGTCAGGGATTCTTTTACGTGCACGTCAATGTGTATCCGTTGTTTTCGTCCATCCGAATGACTAGTCCTTCGTCAGGCACCACTGATTAGAGGAAACCGCGGTGGAAAATTCCAGGGAAGTCTCTCGGCCAACACCGGGATAGAACCCCGGACCTCTTGCGTAGAGAGTATACATAGTATATACATGTGTTAATCTGTTGTATATGGGTACAATTTGGGAACAATGAATGGGAGATAATAAAGTGATAGATTAAGAAAATTAAAGATACATTATGGAAGATTAGATAAAGAGCTGGCAGTTGTCACTATAATAGTTAAAAACTAGATGATGTAAAGAGAATTTACTGAAAATGTAGGTCAAATGGCTCCACTCTATGCCGAGAAAACCTTATTTTAAAATCACTGTAGCCTCGATTTTCATTGTTACCGCTGTACCGATAGTTAACAAACTCTCGAGTATCCATTTTTGCGTTTAAGCACCAATGAATTTTGAACAGAAGATCGGATTCAAATCCAATAAACATCGTACACCTAAGATGACATCGAGAGTCGATTATGGTCTTTTCATGTTAATAAATGTCTAATTATTAGTTTATATTACATTTCAGGCCTAAAGAAAAAATTGCAATAGACAGATTCGACTCTTGCATAATTGTTGATTATTGACTATTAAGTCGAGGAACGTATTTTTTTTAATAAAATGGTTTTCCATTAATTTTCTTATCACCATGTCATCTTCTTTCATTTCATCAGAAGGGAAAATTTTGAATTTTACTTGAAGGTGTATTGCACATCTAGAGATATGTCTATTTACAAATAAGGGCCCATTTCCAGTATTACAATCACCTCGATGGTTGCGTACTCTATCCCGTAGATGTGTGCCCGTTTCCCCGATTTAAAAATTTTGACAACCATTGCACGTCAAGACATATGAAGAGCCCCGGGGAAGAACGATCTTAGTCACTTTTTCAACGAACCCCAGTTAATGGCGCCATCTGGTAGCAAATTGTATAAGCTTTCCGTAGAACAATCAATTTCAAGTAAAAACTATCGGAGTCACATCAAACCAAGGCCCTTCTGAAATGGCCTCCCGGACAAATACGTCCATCATACCCTTTATTTGGCCTTAATTTGGCTGAAAAGTGGAAATCAGTTGATGCACTGGTAATTATGATTCGTATTAAACATCATCTTGAAGTTGCAATTAAACCCACTCGTTTTTCTGTTCGTATCAAGCATTCTCGTCCAAAAGTCTGTTTTGCCTTTTATGCGAAAAGACAAAAATGTGACTTAGATAGTTCTTTCCCTGGACTCTTCATATATGAGATTTATTTGTGTTACAATTCATATTGTCGTTGACGCTAAAAGTAAAGTTATGAAAATTACATTGTTATTTGGCGTTATATGGTCGAAACATTTACATCGAAGATCCAGGCATTTAGATACATAAAAACCTGTCGTTGTGATAGATGAATTGAATTAACCTTTAGTTAGGAGTCGTTTCAGATTAGGTGGCTTTCTTGATTTAATAAATTGAACATTAAATAAACCAAACGAAAGCCGGAGGCTCGTTAACCAGGACATACGCCATAAAGTGAGCTCTGAAGGGAATTTTACCCTGACCGCGGGGCTTACAAGGGGAGACCACGCCGGAATATCACGATGAACTTTCTCAGCCAGCACTGGGATCGAACTCACGACCTTCAGGCTAGTGAGCCAGCGCCTTACTCACTTAGCCACCGTGACTCCATTCCAAGGAATAGAGCCAGACGTCATTTAACGCCAATTTTTAATTCTAGAATATATAAAACTTACAAGGCAATTGGGGGGTGGGGCTGAATGGTTAGAATGCGCGCGCTGTATCATAAAGTCTGTCATTGAGTCGGCTGGTGTGGTTTCGAATCCCCGGTTGTACGTGACAAGGAGTAGGGTCGCCTGTCCAACCTCGTGGGTTTTCTCCGGGTCCTCCGGTTTCCTCCCACTGCTAAAGACCCCTATGCGCAATGACCTAGTTTGTGTCGAGTGGACGTTAAACCCCATTTCTCTCTCTCTCTCTACAAGGCAATTAAGGATGCTATTGCAATAAAAAGGACAAATGTATGGTGTTCTATTTCGGCCACTTCCAGAGTCGCGCGTCGCCTTTGAAAAAAATGCCCCTGTTTGGCTTTTAAAAAATACAAATGAGCCTAAAAATCACCCTCTATCTTGGATTAGCTATATAAGCTTGGGGATAGTTACCATGCTGTACTTTGGTGAACCTTAACAATTGCTAAAACTAATTTTCTATTTGACGTGATTTGGCTATCCCATTATACTTAGATTAGATAACGTGTGAACCAAAATATGCTTGAATAATATCTGCAGACAGAGAACTATCTATTTTAAGCGTAGATCTCTGCCCTGAATCGTCGCCATAATGGAAAATATTGTGTACTGTTTTATTATGCTTTTCTAATCCGTTTCCTGCACACAAAGACGAAAATAAACTATGCATCTACTAACTAACTACCTGTAGTTATCGTCCTTGTTGTTTTCTTTATCGGTGTTTCTATCTGGAATTCCCCGTGTTTTTTTCTTTTCTTTCTGGAATTCAATTCCCCTTGTTATATTTTTATCTGGAATTCTCCGTGGTTTTTTTTCTGTCTGGAATTCCCTGTGTTTTTGCTACACTACTCTAGATTATTTCATTTCTCACGATTCTTCAGTCGTGTGAATGATTTACTCTGATAAGGATAGGTTGTAGACATGTTTAATTATAATATGCGAAAATAAAATATGTTTAAATAAATAACGTCTTCCTGTCTTTAGTGATATGAAGTATCCAGATGAATAGGTAGCCATTACTGAGAGTACCGTGCGATATTAGTAAGGTTAATACAACAGAATCCACGGCCGTTAATTACTCTAACCACTTGTCTGAAGGCAGCTATTGAGTCTCCTATTGAAATATATTGACAAGAAAACTATAGGTTATTGACTAGGACTCAAGTCGGTGCTATTGATGCCTGGCGGATTAACGAATATTGAAAACCATCCTGTATACAAATTTGGTAGATTTGTTGTTTAAGCCTAAAGGTTACTGAGAGTGGCGAATTTCGTAGAGTTCTCTGTAAACTGGAGATATAGGATCGATAGCCGGAGTCAGCTGAGTGGTCGATGATACGAGGACGTATTTTGTCGATGGGGTATTAACAAATAAGAGTTTGCCTACAGGCACAGAGTTTAAAATGCGTTAGTATTGACACAAATTGTTATCCTTAACTTGTCTGTTTGGCAGACTTTGACTAATTTGAGGAAAGTATGAGGAATTATATTATTGCTTATGGTGTATATATTTTAACTGGTCTTATTCTCATTTTACAAACAGGTTAGTCAATCTTTCTTTTTTTGTTTTAGCGTTAAACTTCTGTGTATTATTGTCGGCGCCACGTCGAGTACAAAACGTTAGTTTATTTTGTATTATTATTGTCTGCATCACGTAGACTACAACACGTTATTTTTGTGTATTATTTTGCTCAGAAACTTAAAGTAATAATCAGTTTATGTTTTTAATCATAAATAGGAATTTTCGTATACATACAGAATCAACAGTTTCTAGACAAACGTGTACATCCAGTTGAAATAGATTTAGAAGAGATAAACTATTTTGCGTTTGAACGATTTTGGAAAATTGTAAGACGTTGGGAGAGGTTTACATAAAGTTTGTGATACAGTTTGTCTGATTCACAGTTTTATGATACCATTCCTTTTCTCATTTTTTAATTAGCAACTTATTCCCTGACGATTCCGCCAAAACACGCTCTGTTTCGATCTTAAATTTTCTTAAAATTTAGTAGTATTTACAGTTTCTAGTTAGTTACATGCGCAAATAAAATCTATTGAGGACGGTTGCTCGCACTTGGTAAATTCATATCAATGTTTCATTTTTAATATTTTCATTAAAGTTATTTCCGCATTTCATCAAGTTTTAGTAAAAAGAACATGTGATTTTCTTCAAATTACGCCTTAGGATATTTCATTACGATGGCATGTTACAATATATCCATTTTACGATATTTTTCACCATGTTTTTTTCACGATGCTTTGTTACATTAAATCCTACAATAGTATCGGTTTTGTGATACATTCTTATTTTTCTTACGAGGACAGCTTACGATATTGTCCGTATTGCGATACTTCTTACCGTATTCGCTTACCTTTTACAATATTTCTTACCTATAATGTATTTTTATATTTCTTTACCATGGATCCTTACGATATTTTATGACGATGATGACATGTGATACGCTCTTACGATACATATTCTTACCATATTCTGCGTACGATTTACGATATTCCTTACCTATAATGTATTTTTTATTTCTTTACGATGGATCCTTACGATATTTTATTTTGATTGTGACATGTAAGCTCTTACGATACATATTTACTCGATTAAAACATATATTACATAAAATAAATGAAAGTTTGAAACTGATCTAGTCAAATGTATGTCAATATTTCATTGGTTGAACCTGATAAAGATTTTACACAATAATAAAAACATTACTTTTTACTGAAGTCATCTAAAATATATAAATAATTCAACCATGTTATTGTTTCATCTGTAGTGATATCGTTTATTTTTACTACTTGACTAAAACTATGCATCACTGAGTAAAGAGTTGAAACATGTTAGAATACTAACTATGGAATGGTTTATATGGCGAACAATTGTTGACTTGACTATAAGTAGCTGTTGGTAGGAAGTACAACTCCGTGAAGTAAGACCAGAGAGACCCACCTAGACGCATATCACGCGAAATGAAGGAGAGAGAGAAATGGGGTTTAACGTCCACTCGACACAAACTAGGTCATTTCAGGACTAACATATGGTTCAATTTTATTTCAATACTTCGCTTGCGCGTAGGGGTATTTTTTTAGCAGTAGGGGGAAACCGGCGGACCCGGAGAAACCCCACGAGGTTGGACGGGCGACCCTATTCCTTATCACGTACAACCGGGGAATCGAAACCACACTAGTTGACTCAATAACAGACCTTATAATACAGCGCGAACGTGCTAACCATTCGGCTATCTCCCCCACGAAGTAAGGCCAACAGTCATAATATGTAGATTAGGGTTAAATCCACATTGAAACTCTTGAAAAATCAGAACAATTAGGAGATAATTATATACACGTCCTGGTTTCAATTAAGAATGGGCTGAATTTTCATTCGACACACTTTTCGGCCAATCAGAATCGAGTAATTCAGATTCGCTGCACTTGTAATTTAACAGGAATAAGAAAACACGGGTAAAAGAATATCCGTGCAAAGAAGTAACGACAATTTAACATAATCTCATCATTCGGTTTCTATTCTGAACGGAGAGCCTGACAAGGAGCCTTGTCTAGTCGTTCGGCTGGTACGAAAACCCGAGGTCCTGTGTACACATTGGCGTGCACGTAAACGAATCCTTGAAAGTTTGAATTCGAAATAAACGTAGTCCGTCTTGACCAACATTTCCCTCCTAGCACACTTCCGGTCTTCTTTAGCCCAGTAAAATGGGACGCTAAACTCCATTTCATTTCATTTTGCTTTTTATTCTGAATATTGCCAAGACCTTATAAGTTATTCATAAAATCATATAAGTGCATTCTGCGTAATGTAACTTTATCTGAATCAAAAATAGTAGTTTTTGGAGGAGAGTTTTTTTTAAGATCCCTTGGCAGTTGGAATTCGAAATAAGGGTAGATCATAGCGCCGCTGTCCGGGCAAAATTCCCTTTATTGCACACTGTATGGCGTACACCCGTCTTCATTAGCCTAGCCCAAGTAGAACAGTAGGGCGTTAAACCCCATCTAATTTCTTTGAAATCGACAATCTATGTATTAACATGAACACCAGGTGGCATGTCATCACTCTTTCTATTGTTATTATGAACAGGTAGTTAACAAATGTCAAAAGATTTATAAAATATTATTTGCTAGAAATTTTGGAACAAAGGACAAATTATGTATCACTATATTAAGAATCAAATTTAAGGGAATAAAATCGCATTTTCTTTAAATAGCCGTAGATAGTCACAATAGATAACATTGTTCTGAACACGTTGTAGAACACCTGCCATCTCTTCTCATTTATTTAGAAATTTACAAATCTAAAAAATGTTGCTTACTTTTGCATTTAAAGGGTGTGTGGCCCTATTCTTTGGAACCTTAACATAGACAAAAATGGGTCTAAAAGCACATATTAATGTAATAATATGAACGATATATAGCGATTTATATTCAATTTTTAAAACCAAATATACTCAGCCAAATTAAAAACTTGACACTGATGAATTTCAACAAAAAAATTTTTCTGGTAAGTTAAATAAATTTTAAAGTGTTTCTAACGATAGTAAGTAGTAAGAAGCCTTTAATTTCATAAAATTGTAAAGTCACGTGGATCACGTGACTTTTTAGCACATAAAGATGAAAAACCTGAAAAACACGTGCAAACACAAACTCGTAAGGTCAATCGATGCAAGTTTGCTTAAACTGAACACGCACACGTAACTTGAACTGGAAAAACAAATTAAAATTGTTATTTTCATCTTTGTTAGAAAATGCCGCGCCTTTCAAATGTAGAACGTCTACGTGCTATAGGTAGGCTCTATGCTGGTCAGTCTGTGGTCACTGTTGCGAGAGCCTTTAATTGTTCACGCCAGACAATAATTAATCTTAGAATGAGAGTACTTCAAACTGGAACTATTGCCGACCGCCCAAGGGCGGGAGCGCCACGTGTGACGTCACTCCAGGAAGTTCAAGCAATACGATTACGTCATCTTAGAAACAGATTTGTCACTGCAACCTCCACAAGTAGAGAGATGTTTGGTGGAAGGGTAACTGCACAAACTGTTCGAAATCGCTTGCAGGCTGCTGGTCTTCGAGCTCGGAGGCCCTATAATGGACCAATATTGACACCTCTTCATCGCCGTAACCGACTTATGTGGGCCACAAGACACATAAGATTTACTCAAAGATAGTGGAATTCGGTTGTCTTTAGTGACGAATCTCGATTCACTTTGAGATTTGCCGATGGCAGGGTCCGAGTGTACCGCAGACGAGGTGAACGTTACGCTCAAGTATGCGTCAGAGAAGTTGACCGATTTGGTGGCGGCAGCGTCATGGTTTGGGGTTCTTTTTGTGCACATGGACGTTCTCCTCTTGTTGTTGTCCAAGGAAACTTAAACGCTGTCCAGTACAGGGATCAGCTTTTGCAACCTGTTCTTCTTCCGTTTATGCAGAGACATGGGCCTGGACTAACGTTTCAACAAGACAATGCTCGACCCCATACAGCAATTGCTACCCAGAATTTTTTAAGAAATGCCGGTGTCCAAGTCCTGGATTGGCCGTCGCTTAGCCCCGACCTTAATCCTATTGAACACATCTGGGACGAACTCGGTCGATGTGTTCGTCAGCAAGTGAATCCATCACTGACGTTGCAGGACCTTCAACATGCTCTTGCTGAGCAGTGGCGACGTCTTCCTCGGGTAATGTTTACTAATGTTCTGAGATCCATGAGAAGACAGTGTGGCAGTACGAGACGCTAGAGGAGGTCACTAAACACTTTATTCCGATTGTTCTCCAAGTCTGTGAATTTCATTTTGGGGGGTACTGTGACATCACGAACGTTATCAATGTCAAGGACTTTCGGCGAGACGTATTCTTGCTTTCTGTTGATGTCAAGGTCGTCTGTGCACAACATAACACTAAAATAGTTACCTTAAACCAAATATTAAAAATCTAGTCCCAAAAATCCCGAGTGTCAAGTTTTTAATTTGGCTGAGTATATATATTGTTATCTAATCAATTATATTCCGTGAAGTACGGGAACAGTAAAATTGAACAACGGTCCATTCTACACGTTATTTTTTATTATTATCTTGTCGTTTGTATTTCCGCATTGTCTTGTAGGATATGGTGTTTTGTTTTTTGTGTTTTGTTTTTTTGGGTTTTTTTTGTTGTTCATTACAAATGGCGCCCGGAACCATAGAATTCACGAGTTGTATACAGATTATTACATGTGTATCGTGCCCTAAATAGTTAATATTAGGATCCCATATTTTTACAACATCAATATTAACTAAAATGGACCAATATTGGATTATAATTTGTCTTTTTAATTCCGAATATTATGGAAAATATTGAGTTAGAGGTTTAGCTCCTTTAAAGTCTGATTTGAAAAGATAAAATACGTCAAATTGAAAAAAAAATTGACCACACATAGACGTGTTTTGTTTTATTTCCCATTGTCATTACTTTGGAATTAAAAATAGGTTAATTAATTATATCTTTAAATGTCAAAAATCTGTTTTTATAAAATGAAAATCTTACACTGTG